TGAACAGAAATAATCATTTGTTGTGACTCCCGAGTATTATTTGTGATGATTTATATAAAAAAACCACGCCAGATTTTGTTAAACTCGGTTTTAAATCTGACAAAAATATTGTTACTCTTTGCCGATAAAGACAGTAGCTTCATTCCGACAAGAAAGAGCATAAAGCCACCAGATCTGGGCACCATTTGCCCACAGCCTCCTCAGTTCTGAGTCTCACATCAACGCTGTGACCATTCAGCAGTCAACCTGTCGGGCTTCCTGTAATCCGGATTGAATAGCGAGATTTCAGGTTCTCATGGTGCTACGAAGATGGCTGTCTTCAGAGATGTTACGTCGTAAAAAAGAAGTCTCTAGGCGTTTCATAGATTCTTATTGCCTCTATCATCAGTAAGCACCCCTGAAACGTCGATAAACCTACATCAGACTATATCTACAGATGTCTAGTTAACGAGATTCGAAAGTTGTACGTCATGGAATACACTGGCATTTATACGACGTACGTCATTGTTACATTAATGTGAACCAAGGTCATTGTTCTTTGTGTCATTCTTGTATTAATGCGACCCCGAAGTTATTTCTGCGTCTTTTGTCATTCTTTCACTAATGTGGTCAGAGGTAATTGTTGAGAAACGTGTTCCAACAATGACCTATAGGTGCAATATTGCGCAACACTGACCCCTAGTAAGGAATTGGCCCCCCTTCAGTGGGAATCATTGGAGACCCACAAAAAAAGCATTGTTTATTGTTGAAGCAGATGACACTTTAAAATGTTAATTAATCTATATTGACGACAGAATCTTTGGTTCCAGATACGCCATTTATTTTAGTCTCACTCTGTAAAAAACTCGACAATTCGTGACGTGGAGAAAATGTTTCTGTGTATGTGCTAACAATTTTCGGCTGGCGCCAATTGAAGGCAGCGGGCAGTCATAGAAGCACATTATTACTGTCTGCGGTTTTTGTTTATAGCCAATATCTGACTAAGGCGCGTGCGCACAAGCGAAATGGGTGGCCATATTGTTGTCAAGATTTACAAATAAGGGAAACATTTGGTTTTAATATAGATCAGTTAGACAGGGCTGTTCTATTTTTAGTAAGCGTCTCTGACGTAAACAATGGGCAATTATCATTCTGGAAGCCGCTCTTTGACAGACAAACCACAGATTCTACGAGATGACTGAAATATATTCCCAAATTGGTAACTTGTTCCTCCAATTTTAGCTTCAACAGAATTTAAAAGCAGCGGATAAAACGGGAATGTTCACGTAAAAAAACCGAAGTCAGTTGCAGATACGCTACCCTAAAAGGCGTGCGGAACTTCTGAAACCAGCCAAAGCAGAATTTAAAATAACGCAATCGAGCCGAGAGCAGGTTAGTACAGCGGTGCCGCTGTAGAATTGTATTAAAGATGTACACGATTCAAATATCAGTCGGATTACTGTACACTCTGACGGAGGACAGCCATGGTCTTTCTCAGACTCTCCAGAGGAACGTCCAGAAAGTACTTGTAAAGACGCCACGAGTCCTGTTTCAGATAAAACCAATATTTATTAAAAACAATACAATATAATAAACAAACCAGATTGCGGGCAACAATATGGAGATAGTTTTTTTACATATATTCAACACACAACTTTACAATAATGTATTTTTCATGTTCATTTCATATACGCCGAACTAGATCTTACTGTACAACACTAATCCATATTTACAGCCAACAAAGACACTTTAACAGCCATTAAAAATAATCGTATCGTTGTACACTTTCGAACTAAAATCGCATATGATCTGACAGTGATTCTGCTTATTTAAATTACGTTACATAATCGTCTACGGAAAAAAGCAATTACTGAGGTATGGTATCCGGGAACAAGTAGCTGGGTGCACCTCAGACGTGTTAACACGATAATTCCTCCCCAGACACACACCACTTTAGGTTCTTTCTTGCAAACCGTAATTGAAATCCGGCGGCATTGAACGAACTCGATTTACAATGCACTAACATAAGTACCATTAAATTCGGCGTGCCACATCAACGAGATCCATAACACCCGTACCTATATTCCATTCTTTGTTTATTATTACGTAGCTTATGAAGTGTCGAAAAACCCGGGTGATTTTGGGTTAGCGATTGACATGTTGTCTGTGTCTTGATTTAACGATGCTGTTGCGACTGCAGACGTAATATAGTATCAAATAAGGTGAGAAGATGATCTTGAATGGCGAGTATAAGCAAGGTATTTTATATATTTATTTATTTAGTGTTCTGTCTGACGACAGGTCCATATGAACAGGATCCTTCCATCCTTTTCTCGGACTGGGACCTGTTCATATACGTTCTTGGCAGATGATCCAGAAGTGGTTTGCCATTGCCTTCGTCTGTGTGTGAATGGAGTAATTGTTGGGATGCCACGAAGGAAAACTCCGTGTTGCCTAGACCACGGCCTTGCCCAACACAAGTTATAAATTCGGGCACCGCCGGGAATCGAACCCGAGACCCCAGGATTACAAGGCCAGCGTTCTAACCGCTAGACCACCGTGGCTGTATTTATCAATTTATTCCTCTTTTAGTCACTTCTTGTGTCAGAAATTATTCAAAAATTGAAATTCCAATTCATAAACCGATTAACTTATAGGCTAGACCTCTGTGTCGTACACGATAACTGCTCTGTATTACATTACTGTATCCTAAACCAAATACGAAGTACTCGAGACGGTAAATTAGCGTTTTCAGGGTAGGCCAAAACTGGAATATTGCAGGCCTATCCCATCTTCTAAGTCTCTTCACTACCATGAATGGTTTCAAACCCCTGAGAATCGTGATTAGATAACAAGAGATACGCGTTTGAACGTTCGATCTATTTCTTTATTCTACTTCCTACATTTCATCTTTCATTTGACAAACGTTGGAAATTTCTACCTGCAAAAAAATGTTTTCACCCCAAAGGTTAAGAAGACTTCTTAACCTTAATTAAAACTGACACGCGCAGAGAATTCGTGACATTACTTTATGTGGAACGCCATAGATGTTTTTATATCAAGATAAAGCTGTTCCATACCAACCTTGCGCCACAGAAATTGCTTATAATAGATGAAAACTAGGATAATTATATAAAAGGCTAATTACTGTATAGTTTAGTAACAGATCAGAATCACGCAAAGTAGCCAGAATTATCGGCAAACTATTTGAATGATCACTGTCAATATTGACACCACTCAGCCGGTGCTGTATCAGATCGACAGGAATTCGAAAGGAGGCTATCACAGCAACAGGAAGTCTTGGCGTTTACATGCCGTCAATGAGATGAGGATGTCTGTCTTCTGGG